CTTTCCCTGGTGTTTGCCATGTTGGTTTCTCAGGTCTGTCAAGAACGACTTCAGGTCAGAAGACTGCTAATAGAGGGGGTGTCAGGCCGCACATGCTTTTAGCAACGGGTTTCTCTCCGTCTAATAACACTATATGTCAAGGTTTTAGGTTTTTCTTCTGTGGTCTGTTTTTCAAACACATTTAATTTAAGCTCCAAGTGGGGAATCATTTGCACATTGTAGATTATGGAATTACCTTCTTCCTGCACCACTCTCACATATGCTCACACTTCTAGTATGAGATTTTTTTTTTTTTCCTTTTTCCAGAGCTCTCAGCAGCTCCATTCAAGATTGGGTTTACTCCTTGGTGTCACAGTCTGGGATATCAGTGCTTACTAAAATAGCTGTTAGGTTTCTATTTAAATTTTTTTAGGTGGAAAAAAAGTAAAAATCAGTTCAACATTTTTGCAGTAGGGGCTTTTGCCAGATTCAGGCTGTCCTGTGTGAAGCAGAGAGCGTGGCACAGATGATTGGACTTGGGGCTGAGAGACAAGAGATCTGTTCTTAGCTCTGCTGTTTAAATTGTTCTGTGACTGGGGGCAAATCACTTCCTGTTCCAGCTGGTGTTTTCTTCTCTGTAAATGAGGCCAAAAACATATTTTCAGCTTTTGTAAAACACTTTGAGATTCATGGATAAAAAGTGCTGGATAAGTGCTAAGTATTTTCTTATTATGTTTGCAGACAAACTGATTGATCATTCTGAGTACTAATTGCCTTGGAGTAGCATTGCAGATCCTCTGGCCATGGCTGCTGCATTTTATATTTACAACAGAATTAATTTTATTACAGAAATGTTTTGAAAGGAAAGTCTCTCATGCTTGAAATTTTGATTATTTTATTTAAGAAACAAAAAGTGTGTGTGGTGGGGAGGGTGGGTGGAAAGGGACAAATTTTCTACGTCATATTTTTACTAGGCTAGGATGAAGATTTGTTTGTAATACAAGACAAAAATGAAATAAACAGAATTTGCTTTAAGAGCCTGATTTGTTGTCTCTATTTTCCAAAAATCTTTCCAAAAAAGGGCACCTGGGAATCCCTTTGTGAAGAAGGGAATCCCTTTGCGAAGAAGAGATGGCAAGGGTGTGCGTTTGGCTACCCAGGCGTTTATCGTACGTGAGCGTGCTGCCTCTTCCTCGGTGCCTGGAGTAACAATGTGCTCTTGGAAGTTCCTACCTCAGGCATTTATGTAGCTATTGCAGATTTCTTTTTTCTTTGTTTTATTCCCCATGAGCTGATGTGGGGGAAGGACTGGTTGGGCTTCAGTTGTATTTCCCTTTCTGTATTTTATTACTAATCCAACTTGTGCTCAGAGATTCTTCCTTCAGTCCATCCATAGCATCTGTCTCGTCTCGTGGCGGTTACCGGTTGATGCTCCGTGGTCAAGAGATGAAAGTTGAACAATGCACCTGGCTTGGCAGAAGCGCCATCATCTACCCACTGCTTGTAGACTGGGCTAAGACCCTTGGATCTTCCTTGGAGCTGTCTGCTCTTAAGCTATTGCTCTTCAGGTCAGATAAGCATTTCCTTGCCATTTAGTGCCTGACTTGGAAAGTGTGTTTGACTGGCAGCACAATCTTACTGTTTTTTGATAATTCTTGTGCTGCCCTAGCTTTTTAAAAGAAAAAAAAAAGGCAGAACACTTCTGATGTTTCTTATATAAACCGCATTAGACAGCGAGCCACAGAAATCCCGATAGCATCAAACCTATGTATCCATTAATGATGTGTCCCTGCTAACGATTCCTTTCAATTAACCTTAAAGCACTGAGTGGCTGTCCCTGACTTAGCCCCCTTATGTTCTCTGTGTACTTACAGGACCTTGCTTCTGCTCAGGTGCTGGCATGTGTCTATTATGCTTCCCTGGGTCTCTTTTGACCCAGCGAAAAGAAAGGAATTTGTGATGCTTTAGGGATTCTCTTTATTTGTCTTTCTTGTTCCTGCATCCTCTGTCTTGTCTCTTTTCTGCCAGCTTTTTCTGCAGGATCTCTCAGGACTGTGGGAAGAAAGATAGAGTCAAGTGAGACCTTGTAAAGGCTAGAAGGCAATGGGATATGTGGTCATCCAGTAGCTTTTCTCCTTGTGTGAACCTTTACTGGGGAGGTGCACGCTACAGAACACACAGATGGTCGTGTGGACAAGCAACGCGATAGGGTTTTGTGGGTTTGCTTCTGTGTGGCTTTCGGAGTGTGAGAGTCCAGGTCATTGCTATGCCTGAATAGTTGTACCTCAAAGTCAAACAAGACCTCAAAGTCTTGTTAGTATGACTGTAAAAGCTTTTCCAGCCAACTACTACTTATGAGAAGAGAACGATGAAAGGATTTTTTTTTTTATTTATTTTTTCTTGCTCCTGGGCTGCAGAGGATGTGGGCTGAGTTGAGCTGTGCAAAATCAAGTCATTGTAGCAGCAACAGACTAGCACTACCCACCAACTCGGCTGACTGCTCATCAGGCGGCAGTGTCCCCTGCTAGAGCTGTTTTCTGGCTAAGGTCTGATTAGCTTTTGTTTCTCTCAGGGCAGCAACCAGGGAGGAGCTGTACTTACTGTGTACGAAAATGAGTTCTTAGAAAAATACCAGTGTGAATTGCACAGATTCTTTTTCTGATGTTATGACACAAAAATACTACAGCAGTATCAGACCAGCAATTTGGAAAGTGGTATCTTGTGGGTGATTACAGTCGTCCTGCACGACAAGAGAAGTGAAAAGGGGTCCATGCTGACAGAAGCCCCTCGTACAGCTGCTTTGGGCTGTGCTGTAACATCTGGGTAACATGTTGGTCTTGCTCGGTTAACAAGTAGCGAAGGGCGTGGTATAGGCCCATGGGTGTTACTGTGCTCATATACAGTGCTAGCTTTTTCCTGTGCCCCTTGTTTCTTCCCTCCCATGTGCCAAACCCTTTCATTGCTCACCTTCTAGCCGTTGCGCTTTGCTAACGTGCTGATTGCTGTCTCTCCTCTGTTTTCCTAGGATGCCAAGTGCACCTGAAAACTTGAGGACAGTTTTAGAGGAGGTGGGATAATTGTGAGTGCGGTAGGATAACTGTGAGTGCGGTGGGGAGGCGTTTGCCAGGTGCCCAATGCCCTTGGCAGCCCGGAGGGAGCAGGACTGCAGGGAGCGGTGCCTCCTGGGGCAGCCTTCCTAGAGGAGGAGCAGCAGCAGGTTTGGCCACTGTGAGGGGGAACCGATATAGAAACCGCAATGAGGTGATGGAAAATCGAGGGAAAAACTCTAAAAAGCCTCTGGCGTTTTCTGCATTTTGCCTTGTCCAGGGGCAAACTGGAGCCTTTGGAAGAATTCATTCTTTGTAATTGATGGAACTAGATGGAATTCATCCTGTTTAAAGCTAGAAACCTGTTGTTTCTTCTCTTTGCTGTCCTCCTTCCCGTTCTTTCTCTCCAGCAGCTTCCTGACATGTCGAGCTCGGCCCGAAGCAGGCTGAGCTCTGTCCCGAAGGCCTCCCCGAGCCTCTGCTCTTGGTGATGCGCCATCCCTCTCTGGCCGGCTGGCTCATCCTCTCATCCAGCAGTCTCCTTCCTCCAGGCAAGTCGTGTCAGTGCTGCTGAACGTAGCCAGGGCTCTGGCTAACAAATGCCCCCGCCACGAGTGGGGTCCCGGAGGGGAGTTGCAGAAAGCCGGCGTGGGGTGGGAGGGAGACAGCTGGCCCCGGCAGGACCACCCGTCCGCCCTTCGACGTGATTTAGGGTGTTAATAGGAGAAGTGGGCTGCGCCGCATCCCTTCCGCGCGCCTGTTTGCTGCTGTCGAGCTGGTCATTTGATAGCTCCTCGGTGTTCCTCCGAGGCGTAAAGTGGAGCGATGCCGGGATTAGATGTACCCGCTGCCCTTGGCGAGCGCTGGGGAGATACGGCGCTCGCCCTCCCGCCTCCGGCTCCGCTGGTGCCGAGCGCGTTGCCACGGCAACGGGGAGAGACAGCCGTCCGCATGGAAACGTCCTTGCTGCGCCCGGCAGCGAGACTGGGGGAAAAAACAGCCCAAAAGGCGGCAAGTTTAGGGAGGGAAGGGCAGCCGGCCGGCAGCCCTGGCCCTTGGCAGCGGCGGGGAGCATTACGACACTGGTTCAGCGCCTGAGAAAAGACGGGGCCGTCCCTGCGCGTGGGAGACCCCGTGTGAAACACCAGCATTGCCCCCGTCACCGATCTGCTGTGCACGCTCTGCGCCTTCAGCCACAAAGGGTGTTCTTATTTTTTTTTATTTTTATTTTTTTACTGTTGCCCTATATTTTGGCTAGTCTGAGGTCAGGGCAAGATCCAGATTAGCTGCGGCGATACCTGCAGCAGCATAGTTAGGTCACTGTTTCAGCCCTTCGGCGAGTCCTTAATGCTGGTAAGATCCCGCTTTGTAAGGGAGCAGGGGCAGCTGGCAGCCAAACAAGGTCTCTTGTAACATAGGGCAGACGAATGTCGCGTTGACAGCGCGATTGTGCGGTGTGGCCCGCCTGGCTTTGGGCAGCGAGGTCACAGTTAATCTCTCCTCGCCCTCCCTCTTACCCCTCATCCCCGGACAATGGCTCTGCCCACGCCCAGAGAGAGGGCTCAGATCTGAAGGATCTCAGCT